ATTCAATTAGCGTTCATGTGCCCAGAAGTAACGCGTCACAGAATGAACTTTAACATCAAGAATATAGTAGGTAATGCCGTTCACGATGGGAAATTTTCAACGATACTAAGAAGAACAATTATAATGCCAGTCTCAGCAAAGTCGGAAAGGAAAAATTATAACAATAACAAAAAAAACAATTACATTGCCACTCTCAGCAAAAAGTTGAAAAACAATTACCACACCACTCTCAGCCAAAAGTTGAAAAAAAAATTAAAAAAAATTACACCAATAACAAGAAAATTAGAAAAACAATTAAATACCTTTCTCATCAAACAGTTGAAAAGGGAAAATTACAACGATAACAGTACCACTTCACGCTGAAATCTGAAAATGAATCTACATACTCACTTTGTAAACATTGTCATGTAATTTGGCGGGGTTAGCTGGCTAGGCAATGGTCTGCTAACCAACCATTAGTTGTCGCATCTCAAAGAAGTAAGAAGGGTTATACCTGCCAATCGACATCCCTTCGAAGATACATACTTCCCCCCAGAAATGAAAACCCCTCCAGCAGGCAATACCAAAAAAGATCACAAATGGTGCTACGATTGCAATGTAAGAACTAACGTTCTTTATCGGTGTTGCTAAAGCCACCGAAAGCAGAAAGCTGCAGTTCAGGAAATACAGGCACATTCGCAGCAGCACCAAGTGAAGGCTAATTTGAATGACAAGGACAATGACTAAAAGTGAGCTTGAGAATGCTGATGAGTTAAGAAACAAAAGAACATTATTGTAAACAAATTTAGGCACCAGAAACATTGTTCTTGCGCCTTCTTCCCCAGATACTAGTCCCTTAGGGGGGTCGAGTGCAACTTGGTAGGTGGCTGTTGCAACAAGAGTAGCTATCACTAGTACCGTGTTTTGTATACTCTCGGACAAGTTTTTCATATTAAGAGCTTTGTTGATTTTTCTGGACCTCAGCAAGCCTGCCAGATCATCAACCCTACTTGAATTTCCAATCCATGCCGTATATCTGGTAACTCTTGACGCAGAAATCAATATATTTTTTATCTCTGTGTTTGCTCCACTTAAATCAAGAGGTGTCAAACCCTGCAAATTCTTGTCATTTTTCTTCATGACATGCTTAATCAACTTCTTCACAACCTGAATATAATTCAACCCAAAATTGCATTATACAAATGAAAGGAAAAGATATATAGTATAATGCTTTTTGAAAAATCAGTCCGGCCAAGTCATTACATGTAAATTCTGATGCATTTTAATTTATTGATTTTAAAAGATTTATTAAGAGCTTTATTTTCTTATTTAGGACACATACTCCTAAAAGAAACATTTTTTTTGGAACAGATGGAGTAACTGATATTGGCTTTCACTAAGTAGTTGGAAATATTTAGAGCAAAAGATGGAGAGCATGCCTGAGGTTGGTTAGTGGATGCTACAATGTGCAATGCCGCGTCCCTATTCTCGTCCTTCCATTGTAGCACCATTTTATTGTCGGTCTTAGCTTCTCAGCCCCTCCAAAAAGGACTTTAAAAGCTTCAACATTGCAGTTTCTCACAGCAATATGCACAGCAGTCTCACCTCGAACTGTCAAATCTTGAATAGATTGTGGACAAGCGCATAGAAATTCAGCCAAAAGAAAGACTTGATCTTTTCTTTCAGCTACGTAATGCAAAGGAGTAATTGTGTCCTTCCCATGGACACGGATGAGGTCGCTGTCAATATTTATGAGCCTTATAAAGGTCTCAAAGTTCCGATTTTTGCAGAGCCAGGTGCAAGGGGCTTAAGCCATCTGGATTTAGCTTCTTACCAAATGATGGCATTAAGCTAATCATTTCAACTGCAAAATGTGTATGCCCAGCCGATGCAGCTATGTGTAGAGGAGTATCAACAAATGGAATCTCATCCATGTCCTTCAACACTTTTGGATATTCTCAAAACACGGCATACAAGCCATTCATGTCTCCTTCTTCAGCAGCCATCTTCATCCTCCTATCCTCCCTAGCTAGTAGGAGAGTCATATACGTACACAGCTAATTGCCAGTGAACTACAAGGCTGAAAATTGTAATTAAGTAAACAAGAGGGCTGTTTTGTACACAATTTTTATATAACAAAAATGGGGTTTCTTGCACTACCCTAATATTTCAAAACCATATTTCCATTACAATGATGGTTCTACAAATGCTAAGTAAATGAAAACTTACTAAAACGAGACAGCTTTTGAAGAATTAATATAAGGCAACAAGTTGAAGAGCCACAATTTACACTCGAAGCTGAGAATAAACTCTTGAATTTTAAACAAGTAACCCATTGCCCATATATAAGAATCGATCTTCTGACAAAAAGAATCAAATTTTATTTTTATTTTTTTCCTTTCGTTTATATATCTTTTTCTTTTTGCTAATTATGCGTCATTCTATATCTTTGTCTCCCATCTTAACCTTACATGGACAAAGACAATTCTTTCAATTTCTGGAAGAAAAAAAAATACAATTATTTCTCATGCCATTTGGGGAGATCTCCTGTGTCATCATTATTTAAAATATGGTGTATACCGAGAAAAAGAAAAAAAATAAAAATAAATAAAAAAATAAAAATAAAAATAAAAATGAAGAAGAAGAAGAAGAAGATTGTGTGTGCATACCTTTATTCTTGTCGATCCTTTAAATTATTGACCGTTGCGGCTCCTTTGGTGGGCCGACTTATATAGATTTGTTCTTGATGGTTTCCCTTTTATTTTATCGTGTCTGGGCTTTAACAGGCTTTTATTTGGGCCTTTAGGCCCACCCTCTCGTGTTTCTCGTGAACATTGATTGTGTTAGTTCATGTCAAAAAAAAAAAAATTGAAAAAGAAAAAAGATTGTGTGTGTTCAAATTATGGATTATAATCACCATAGTCAATAGTCTATTAAGTTTGAACATGCTAATTATGTTTGAACACGTTCATAGTAATTTTTTACTCATCACTTGGCCTCTATCTTGGTCTCCGCAGTCTGCGGACAAATTATTAGATGATCATCCCTTATAATCCCAATCAGTCATAAATTATCTTATGTCACATTATATGAATTTGAATAAATTAATTATTATTTTAATTTTTAAAACACACACACACTAGAAGGATATCTGTAAGCAAAATTATCATTGTAAAATGTGTGCATTTTATGAAATTACACAACATGATGGTTTACAATGAACTCTTCTCACTATTAGTTACACGACTTTTCCTTTGTTGCCTACACATGGTGGCTGTTAGAATTAAGTTTTTATTGGTAAATACAAAAGCTAAAAGAAATAAATGATTTAATGGAAGAGAAATCATCCCCCTTTAGCATTAAAGATGGAATGTTTCCTGCATCTCTTCTAATTAACTTTTACGCGCTTAGTTGGAGTATATGATAAGAATTGTACACTTGTTATCAGCAGTTATGCTCTGCTTGGAAAATTAAGAGACAAACATGGCAAATGTGTCAAAAATCAAGGTTATAACCTGGTACTTTTTTATCTTCTAAAATAATAGAGGGAGGAAATTGGTAACATAAATCCTTGTTCAATTTAGTGGTACTTTCTTTCAACGGAAAAGATGAAGCTCTCCATGAATTCTTCAATGTTTTAGTGGGCTTCGCCTAACTATTGTGGTTGCTTAATGGGCTGTGTTGGTCCATAAGCTTGTACTTTTTTGTGGGCCCTGTGCCTTATTTGGACTCTTGGCCTCTGTATATATTCCTTTATATATATAATTTGCTTCAATTTTCAAAATAAAATAAAATAAATTAGTTTCTCTTTTTGGTTATATTTTGCAAGATATACCATGCACAACTCACACGAATGCGCCTTCTTCACTGTACAAAATATGAGGAAATTGGTTTTGGTTAATTCAACTAGACGTAACTTCAATATGCAAGAGAAAGGTGTGCAATGTGAAAATAATTAGAGATGTGTAGCACTACTCAAATGATTAATTAATTAATTGGCTGAAATATATATATATTTATTAGCTGTATGAAATTACAAAGATGCTCTTGTGTGTGTGTGTGTGTATGTGTGGAGAGCAGGCCGACTTTATCAAAATGCATCAACTTTAGGATCATAGTGCAAATATATGTCTCACATTGAGGTCATAATTTCCATAATTAAAATACAATATATACTTATATGGACTCGGATTCCCCCTTGTTAAGGAGGTCCTATGATTTTGTGACTTTGTCCTGTGCAAAAAAATTACAACATTTTGAGGCAGAACATCTCACCCTTATCATAACCTTTCAAAAAATAAAAAACTTACCATTATTAGATTTATTTTCTTTCTCTTCTCTCTCCTTTCATATCTCTATCACTTTATTTTCTCCACCTCTTACACCACACCCTTTGACCATGGCCATCACCCCTCCCCTCTCAACCTCCTGGCTATCACTTTATAGACCACATATATATACTTTGATAAGATTGTGCACCTAAACCTATATATGTCATTTCACAAAATGACTTTTTTTAAAATAAAAAATAAAATTAATGTGTATATTGTCTCCATACAGGTAATGTGGCGATCTTGTACGCGGGTGTGTCGTAGGCGGCTACAAGGCATTGGCAGACTACCATACTAGGCAAGCTAAATGTGCACAATCCCACATTGTCTAAGTAAGGGAAAGGTGAAGTGTTTATATGTGGCGGTGTTATCTTCAAATGGTATGAGGTCTTTTGAGGGTAAAGCTTAAGTGCAAAACCGTGCGGGCTCGAGCCCAAAACGGACAATATCCTACCATATAGTAAAGTAAAGTGCTAATATGTGGTGGTGTTATATCCAATTGGTATGAGGCTTTTTGACTCAAAAGTAAAACTGTGCGGGCTGAGACCCAAAGCGAACAATATCATACCATATGATAGAGTGGATCATTAAAGGTAATTTAGTACAAAATTTATCTTAAATGTGTCAGGTGGGATTTATTTGCACAAATTGAATTTTTAGGGGTGTTTAGTTTGTATACTTTCTCCTCCAGCATAAGAAAGAAATTAGGAAATAGAATTAATATGGTTTGCACTACAATTGTACAATCAACCTCCAGAATCATTCGAGAAATCGGTACATTATAATAACATACTCGGACACAAGTGGAAGTAAATCATTGCTCAGTTTATGGGGCATGCAGTCCAAGCTAGTACTCCATATAATCTGAGAATTTATTTATTCACTCACTCTCATATATATATATATATATATATTGTTCCAAGGATAAGGAAACAAATAAAGGGTGTGTAATAGTCTCACAGTCCACGTTGACATATCCATGTTGGTGCATGCTGGGCTCATCATCTACTGTGTGCACTCCTCAATCGATGTTTCACCAACCAACCAATTGGTGCCTCATCTTAACATAGTGAGTGGGATTAAACCTGCAGAGTGTTACCCTTGTAAAGATTTTGCGTTCCCCACGGAGAATCCAAATCCTCAACCAAACAAGGATGGAAAAAAATAGATATGCGCCAAATGAGATCCAGACAGAATTTGGAGATGTTGCTATTTCAGACATTGAAGTCATATAACTAATGGCCAGGTAAATTAGAGAATTTCCCAATAGAACACTATGATATGTCATTGGGAGGGAGAGATAAATCACTCCAACTGCAGCAGCAAATGCAGCTGAGTTGAAAAAATTTATGCTGTTGAAATTATCTGCAGGCATAACTATCGTCCCAGCACGGTTAAAGGCAGTACTGTTGATGGTAGTATTGTTGATAGGGATATAATCTATGGAAGTACTGTTAATTATAAAGGCAGTACTGTTGAGATTGTTGTCTTCTTGTCGGAATCCACCAGGGGGTTGGAGTACAATTTGATAGGTAGCGGTTGCAATAAGCACAGCTACAACCAGCAGCATATTTTTCATGTCGCTTGACAAACCATTATGCATATTAGGAACAAGATACAACAATTTTTCATGGAGCTTTACAGCACTCATAAAATGTGCAAGACTAGTTGAACTCTTCATTTCCTTCTGATAAATCAAACTTGTTATTGCGCACCCCCAGAACAAACGTGTTCTGAACTCTTCATTTCCTTCTGATAAATCAAATGCAGTTCTACCCTCCAAATTCCTTACCATTTTGTCCACTTTATTCTTTATTAATAACTTCGCGACCTGATCAACAATGGAGAAATCACATTGATTAATTACAGAGAAATGGCATTAAAATTAAGCAAAAATAATGGTTTATCCTTAGAACCACCAACAGTTCAAGACTATACATATGCTATATATAGGCCTATACCACTACATGCATATATGGAAAATGGAGCAATTTAAAGAGAGCACCTGGCGTTGGTTAGCGCAAGCTGCAATATGCAACGCTGTGTTGCCATTCTCGTCCTTCCAGTTTAGCATCTTCCAGCTTTCCAACCCTTCATTGTCGAATTTACGAAGCCATCCCAAAAGCACCTTGACTGCTTCGAAGCTTCCATTTCTGGTGGCAATATGCACTCCAGTCTCTCCTCGAACTGTCAAATCCTTGATGGATGCTGGGCAAGCACAGAGAAATTCAGCCAATAGTTCGGATTCATTTCTTTCAGCTACATAATGCAAAGGAGTGATGCTCTCTTTCCCTTGGACACGGATGAGGTCGTTGTCAATATTTATGAGTCTTATCACTGTCTCGGTGTGCCCATTTTGTAGTGCTAAATGCAAAGGGCTTAATCCATCGGGGTTTAACTTCCTACCAAATGAGGGCTTTAATCTAATCATTTCAGCTGCAAAATGGGTGCACCCAGCAGATGCCGCTATATGTAGAGGAGTATCAACAAATGGGATCTGATCAATGTTTTCCAATATGTAGGGATTCTCCCGAAACAAAGCATATAGCGCATCGATATTTCCCTCTTCGGCAACATTCTTCAACCTCTGATCCATGATATGTATCCTGGAGATTGTACAGTTAGGATGAATGGTCTTTTTTGTAAAATCACATGCAAGATAACATAAGAAATAGGTCACTAATGCTGGACTGATTTTTTGAGGTCTAAATGGTTTTGATTCCCTGAAGGCCAAAATGGCGGGTTGAAGACCAAATTACACTTCACTGCACTAATGTAAGTAGAAGTTTTACATTATTTAGTAAAGATTTTATATTATTTAATAAAAGTTTTAGATTAGTGCAGTGAAAATTAACGTAATACATGAGTGCAACAAAGAGTAATTTGGTCTCTATGTATTCATGAACAGTAAAATTTACAATGTTTGTAATTACATTTTTTTTTTTTTTTTTGGAAAGTAAAGCAACTGAATATATATATGAATAAAATAATTACAAAAGAAGGCCTTTGGCCAGAGACCAGCCCCAATGAAGGGGAAAACAAAGCCCAAAAAAAGCAAGCCCAATCAAGAGAACTGACAAGCCTAACCTAGCCCAGCCCAAACAGATACAACAACAAGCATTAACGGATCAAACCGTTAATGGTGGTTCCAGTGAAGCAATTCCAGTGAAGCAATGATGATGAGTTGCATCTGCAACTCAAGAAGCAAGATCAGGTGGACGAGGAGGCGGACGGCAACAAGATGGAGATAGGTTCCACTCACAGAGGATTTTTCGAGAGCTTGAACAATCATGTAGGAATCCCAACTTCATAATCGATTTTATGGTGTAACAAATTTTGCTTGAGACCACTCTGGCGGAAGACTTTTTTCTGTTGAAGATTCTTTCGTTCCTCTCTTCCCATGTGTGGTAGATCAAAGCTGAGAGACATACCTTCCGAAGAAGGTTCAGTGCTGAATTCCTCTTCCATTATGAGGAGAGCCATCTAATTAGGTTTTCCCAATTCACATTCGGTGTAAATAAATTGCATCTGTCACGGATGAATCGCCAGATAGGGGAAACAAAAGGACACTAGAAGAAAAGATGATCATGAGATTTTTGGCTGCTGTTGCATAGAGCACACAAGTTGTGATGAAGAGCTATAGCTTTGGAGTCCAGGGTAGGTAATCTTGATTGCACAGCCAACCACATATTGAATTTCATGCGAGGAATAATAGGAACCTTCCATACCAACTTAAACCAATGGACTGCTGGGGATTGACCTGCAAGAAATAAGGTTGTTTCCTTTAAGTTGTATTCACCCAAATTGGAAGCTACCCAGGAGAGTTTCTCAGTTCTTGTGGAGCATGGTGGAGGCAGTGAAAGTAGCTCAGGGATTACAGTTGATAGACATTCAGGAAAGGACCAAGTAGAATTGACAAAGAAGATATTGACTTTGATGTTAACATTAAATCTAGCCTCTGTGAGTGTGGATAGTGGAAATCTTATGCATTGTGGACCACCAATGCTCCAGTTATCCCACCAAAAGAGTGTGTCATTGTCATTACCAACTCTGTGCTTGATCAGCTGCCTTGCATAGTGCCTTAGCTGCAGAATTTTCCTCCAATTCCAAGAACATGATTGTGGGATATTGGTGGACCAAATATTACTGGACTTAATTAAGTGTGTGTTGCACCATGATATTTAAAGCCTGCCCCTGTCTCCAGTTTTCAAATCCCAAATGTGGCGAAGAATGCCAGCTTTGTTAGCCAACTCAAGGTTAGGGATGCCCAGACCACCACTTTTCTTTGGTGTGCAAACTTTATCCCAAGAAACCTTAGCTCCAGATGACTTCATTTCAGGCCCTGACCATAAAAAGGATCTAAGTATCTTGTTCAATTCATTGACAACTACCTTTGGGAGAAGGAATATGCTGGACCAGTAAATTTGGGATGATACAAGGACAGATTTGATGAGTTCCAACCTCCCAGTATAAGAAAGGCTTCTTGAGGTCCAGTGGGATACTCTACTTGTCAACTTTCAATGAGTAAGCTGCAATGGACAGACTTTAGGTTTGTAGATATCAAAGGGACCCCAAGATACTTCACTGGAAAAGCCCCAACTCCAAAACCAAGTAGCTCAGAAATTGCAGCTTCTGTGTGACAGTCCACACCAGAGCAAAAGAGGTTGCTTTTTGAAAGATTGATTTGCAAACCTGACATAGTGCAGAAATGGTCAAGGGCATACTTCAAAACTGAAACAGAAGAGATATCTCCATGGCAAAGCAGCAACAAATCATCAGCATAAGAAAGATGAGTGATCTTAAGGGTATCACATCTCCAATGATATTAAAGGTACGAACCCTTGCCACATACTCTTTGATTATGGATGATAGAACATCAATTGCAATGATAAATAGGAAGGGTGAGATAGGGTCTCCTTGTCTCAACCCTCTCTTCCATTTGAAGTAACCTTGAAAATCCCCATTGAGGGCAATTGTGAATGAAGGAGTAGAAATACATGCCTGAATTAGGTTAATAAATTTTTCTGGAAAATTGAACAGCTTGAGGCTAATGAGGATGAAATCCCATTTAACAGAGTCAAAAGCTTTCTTCAAATCAATTTTGATGGCACACCTTGCAGGTTTTAAATCCTTGTGGTAACCCCTTAGTAACTCATGTGCTAGAAGGATAGGGTCAGTTTTTTTCCTCCCTTTAATGAATGCTACCTGTGATTGGTGTATGAAATGAGGCAGGGTAGATTGCAGCTTAAGGGCCAGTAGCTTTGCTATGCATTTGTAAACAGTGTTGCAGCAAGAGATTGGCCTATAGTCATGCAATGAGGTGGGGTTTTGACATTTGGAAACTAGGGATATATAAGTGTTGTTGATTTCAGAAAGAAGCTTGCCATTGTGGAAGAATTCAAGGATGGCTTTAGTAACTGATCTTCCCACAATACCCCAAGTTTTCTGGAAAAAATTAAAGTTGTAGCCATCAAGACCAGGAGCCTTATCCTTGCTAAGGTTGAACATACATGTTTGAATATCTAATGGAGAAGAAATTTCAAGTAGGTAGCCATGTAAGTGATCAGGGATGAGGTTGGTGATGAATGGAAGAAGGTCAGTGAGAAGGTGAGTTATTGGAGGTGGATTTCTAAGAATGTTTTGAAAATGTGAAACCACTTCTTGTTTGATGAGGTCCATATCATGCAAAACTTGACCAGAATCTATAGTAAATGAGATAATTTTCCTGCAATTGTTCCTTGATGCCACTGATTTATGGAAGAAAAATGAGTTACAATCACCAAGTTTGAGCCAGGTCATTCTAGACTTTTGTCTGAGCATATCTTCTTGGATTCTCCCTAGCCTTAAATATTCATGTATGAGTGATTTTTCCAACTGTCTAAGGTGAATATTAGATGGAGAGTGGTCAAGATCCATTTGACAAGCTTTTAGCTCTACTGACACAGCTTGAAGCTTTGAGTCCACTGCAGAAAACTCTTTTTTTGCAATTGGCTTTGAGAGAATGCTTAAGGAGTTTGAGTTTCTGAACTACTTGGAACATTGAAGTTCCTCTAATGAAGGTACACTAAATATCATGAACAGTTGGCAAGAACTTAGGGTGAGAAATCCATGCATTGAAGAATCTGAAGGGGATACACCTTTTGGGAGAATTGAGATCAATGTTGACAAGGATGGGGCTATGATCCGAGATGTTAGGAGGTAAGAATAAGCACTTTGAGAGTGGGAAAGATGAAGTCCAGCTTGGATTAACAAGAGCTCTGTCCAATTTCTTTGCAATGCAAGCATTCCTTATACTCTTATTACACCAAGAAAAGAGGATGCCACTGAATTTGAGATCTTCAAGTTCATTTTGATGTAGACATTCCTTGAAATCAGAAATAACTGGACACAATCTCATGGAACCACCAAAGGTCTCAGCAGCATTGTGGATAACATTAAAATCTCCCATGAGTAACCATGGAAAGAGAGAGAGAATAGGCCTGCCTGCATTAAGAGATCATCCCATAGAGCTTGCCTTTCAAGTGCATTGTTAGTAGCATATATAAAAGAAGAGAAGAAGTTGATATTCAGGCCTAAGACATAACTGACAAATCAATGGTAATGAATTCCATAGGATCCAAATTCTACCTAAATCTGAGTGAGAATAATTATGAGTGATAGACCATGAGGGAGCCAAAAACCTGTGGACTGCTGCCACATTGGGTAAGGACACCTTTTTTTTAACCAAAGAGACTAGATCAAGCTTTTTTTTTAAGAGATTAGTCTCTTAATCTCTGATTGCTTAGAGGGTTGATTTAACCCTCTAATGTTCCATGTGAGAAAAGAAATCATTTAAAAGGAGGATTGAAAGAACCTCCAAGATGTGCTTGGCCTGCTGGAGAACCAATGTACATCAAATCCTTGCTGTAGAGAGGCATCTTCCCTGCCTTCTTCTCCAAAATACTGAAAGATCTCCTGTTATTATGCACTCTGGTGTGATTATCAGAGGTGTCAGAGTCACTTAATGTGGATTGAATCAGGCTGGGGTAAGCTGTATGCTTGATGTTTTTGCCATGATATGCTCTTTGTTTCTTGTACTTAGGAGGGAAGGTAATAGGGCAGGACCTGGTGATTGGTTAGTTAGGTTGAAGATGGAGTGGATTGGTATTGGACAAATTGAGTTTTTTGATTCAAAGTGGAGAGTGGATAGGTGTATGTGATTTTGTGGGAAATGTGTTATGGTTAATAAGAGGGGATGATGAGGGAGATGATGGAGACGGTTTAGGAGTGGAGGAGTGTGATACCCCCGAATTTCTGAATGCGGGTTGGCCAGGCCCACGCCCTAATAGCCGAGGATATCAAAACAAATTGATAATAAACGAACACAGAGTACAAAAGAATAAAGAAGAATAAATAAAATGCTGACAAGAAACTAAAATGATAATCTAATAATAAACCTCATAATATATTTTCATTAATTAATAAACTCTTCTGATACAACTGATCCTCCAAAATACAACTCGGGAATCCATACTGTGTGGACCCCTAGAAAATCGAAACTAAACAAATGACAGTAATCTAAAACAGGAAACTGAATCATAAAGGAACTCCTATGTAGCATCGGAAG